TTTAATAATACTTTATTTATTTATTTATTTAGGATCAGGTCTTCGAAATGAGGCATTTCGTAATGCTGCAATAACAGCATCAACATTATGAAAAGAATTAGGGCATTCTGAGCAAGAATGTAAAGAGCTTATTTCACAATTTCGCTATTTTGATGCTATAAAAAAACTATTTAACCTACCATATATTCAAGGATTGGACACTCTGATATTGTGGTGGGGATCTATCAAAAGTCGGCCATGTTATCTTTCTGAACTCGTGCTAAGACTTTTTAGTATTTCACTGTCACAAGCAAACTGTGAAAGAAATTTTTCCACTCTTAAGTGGTTTGTTGGTGATAAACGTACACGTCTTGGAATTGACAAGCTTGAAAGAATGGCCAAAATCAGGTCATATAATATGACAAATATATGAAATGAACTTACCTACTTCGATACTGAGTTAACCGAATCTGAATTACGTGAAATGGTAAAGCTTGCAACAATTAATGATTATATTGATGATTGTCTTGATAATTATATTGTAGACGAAGAAGCAAACAGAAATAATGATACATATGAAGGGGATCTAAGTTTATTATCCCAGACTAATTTAATTTTAGAAGATGTTGTAAATCTTCGGGACCCGGTCTTTCAAGAAAGAGATACTGTACCATTTGAATTTTTTTTTAATACTTCAGAGACTAGTGTTGAAGAAAATGTCAATATGAACTTTAATCCTGAGGATCTTGTTGATTCTGTTTTAAATGTTGATTTGGATTAAATAGCTACTTCTACTGTATTTAGATGTTAAACAATTATTAATAATGGATTTCGATATTTAAAATAATATGCTATACGAATGTAATAGAATAATAACATTATTATTGCTTTTTTAAAAAAAAGACCCCGTGAATAATCGTTAAATTTGGTTTTCATGAATTTACATTATATCATAAAAATTATATATTACATATCAAACGTTGAAATACAATGTATTAAATACGGCACATATTAGATGTTACGATACATGCCAATTGTTACGGCACATGCAAGTTGTTACGGCATATATGAGTCGAGGACCTTTTGACGTATCTTCATATCTCAAGTTACAGCTATCAGAATGTAAAAAAGGTCACGTCACCGATCATATTCCTGCACCTATAATCCCGACAATCACCTGATAAAACTTCGATGAAATTTTTTTTATTTGAATTCTGAGTCTAGAGGATTCAAATAAAAAATTTTTCATCGAATTTGATCAAATGTTTTCGAGATATCTTCGCTCAAAGTTTTAAAAAAAATTTAGCGCAACTTCTTTATTTTAATATGCGTTTTGAATTTTTTCAAAACTTTGAGCGAAGATATCTTGACAACCACCCGATCAAATTCAATAAAATTCTTTTATTTTGGTTATATAAGTCTAGAGGATTCGAATAAAAAAAAATTTTCATTGAATTTTGTCAGATGGCTGTCAAGATGTCTTCGCTCAAAGCTTTAAAGAATTTTATTTTAATAGCGTTTTTGGGGCTCTTTTTTTTTAAACTGATATCTCGACAACTACTTGATCAAATTCGATGAAAGTTTTTTTGTTTGAATCCTCTAAAATATAGAATCAAAATTTCATCAAACTTGATCAGGTGATTATCGAGATAGCTTCGCTCAAAATTTTGTCTTGTTAGGGGGTTTGAATAATACATATGAGGGTATAAAAAATAGCCCCCCCTTCGGGAATTCGGGAAATTATTTTTCGGTGATATTTAGTCCATTGTGAATTTTTTGATTTGTGTTACAAACTCTTAATAATAAAAATGCATGCATATCAACATCAGATCATAGCCGTATGAACTTTTAAGTAATGTATCAAGCATCCATTTATTTTTCGCGAGTAATTCAAACCATAAAGAGAAGCAGCCAATCAGAGTTCAATTTTTGATGATCCAGACATGGAATCCAAACAGGTGCGAAAGAAGAAAAAAGCAAAGAAAGCGAAAATACTCAAAAACTAATATTTAAACCGACCTTTATACATTAATTAAAGATGTCGGGAACAAACTTTTACATACAAGTGGTAATATTTTATTCCTATATCCTTTAATTTCTATCTTCACGTACTTTAGTTTATTTTCACACTATTTCCTTTTTTGAATTTATTTTACTTGCAAAAATAAGTAAATTCAATGTGCCACATTGTATGATGTGCTACATAAAAAACAAGAACCCAGTTCATTCCTCATTTCTTTTAAATATAGTACTTTTATTAAATACTCATTCGTCCATACCTGAAACTTTATATCAGAATACACAACATCTCGGTGCATTACAACTGTAACCCGAAATTTTTAAGAAATATCAAAAATCTAATAATATCTATGTAACTTTCGCTTTTTATTGTTTTCGAAATGGTTAAGCGTACAAAATATCGTGTCTATGGAAAAGTTAGTCCGTGTGGTTCAGCATATAATATACTTGAAGACATTTAAGATTATCCGCAAAGAATTTGTCGGTATTCGTGCTCCGTATTTAAAAAGAAGAGCTAAAAGTAGATTTATGATTATACAGTGTTTATAGTTTTAATTCTTTTGACTACTTTATTTTGTTTATCAATCTAATGTTACATTTTTCTTTGCTTTACCTTAGTTAAATCGCGCAATATTACAAATTCCTTTGATTCTTCAATATTACGAATCCTTGATTCTTTTTTTGTTAATTAAAATGCTCAAATTTATTTTTGTTATTTGCATTAATTTATGTGTTATGTTGCAAATTAATTGTTATTTTAATGACCAATTATGTAAATTTTTAGGATGACGAAAGATTGGTTCATCTGAGGAAATAAAATTTTAATCAACTATTAGTGACCCTATATAGTGATGAATGCGAACAGTTTTTGACAGTAAACTGCAGAATAAAGTTATTAAAACGTGTATTGTATGTGTATGACTTTGAGATAATGTATTGATAACAGATTTTTGCGGTCCTCTTGATCTTAAAAATCGTCAAGACTTCTTAGCCTTAAATCGCTAGGACTTTGAATCATTTTTTAATTAAAATGTATATTTTAACAATTTTAAAATAATTAGAAATAAATCCATTTGGTTGATTATGTACGTTATTATTAGAAATAATTAAACATGCACAAAATATTGTGTCCACTTCCTTTCTGGCATATATTTGCGAATAAAAAAATTTTTTTTCATCAAAGCAGCTATTATGACTTGAAGAAAGTTTCTTTCGGATGTTTGAATATAATATGTTCCGTTCATCTTACCTAAATCACAAAATTAGCACCAATTACCTCATACATAGACAGCAACTGTTACACTGTTTTAAAAATAAAGACAGCTTTGCGGAATTTAACTGGCTTGCTGCAATCTTAATAAAATTAATCATAAATGGAAATGATAAACATAATACGTAAACGAATCTTGTTAAGTGATCTTCATAGTGGCTGAAACAATCTCACTGTGGCTAATGATCTCGCGATACACGCGAACGCGAACCCCGAAATGTTTTCCATTAGAAAATTACATTTGTCATCATATCATATGTACTTATTTTTTTTTTTTTTTATTAAAAATTTTTTTTCAAACTTAACAAAACTTAAAAAAAATTTCAACATAGCATATATCTTAAATTTTTGTTAGATCTTACGACTTAAAAAAAGCATGCTTTTACAATTTATACATATTATAGCTAGCTATTGTAATAAAAATGTTACAGCGTAAATAAAAATAAAAAACCGCAAGAAAATGAAAGCTTTCATTGAGACAATTTATGTTCGAGTATATATTTATATATAAATAATAAAATAAAATATATGATGAATGTTCTTGATATATAGTATGAAAAATGTTCGGTATATATTGTATGAAAAATGTTCGGTATATAATATATCGATGACTTTATAATGGAGACGTATGGGTAACTATTTTTTGTCATTATAGTAGGCCTGGATGTCGAAATATTTTTCAAGCTCACTGATGTCAACATCGGAAGCAATACTGCCATTGATATCGAAGGTTGATACGTTCTCAACCACTGTAGTATCTTCAAATAAGTCTGAATTTATCGGAATTGACTCATTTTCGTCTTTATTATCATTATCCTTTGGTTTACATTTTGGCTGATATTTGTAATTAGGGAACATTTGCTTATGACGTTTATCAGCCTCTTTTGCCAAAACTTTGAAAAAATTTTTTACAATTGGGGATTGTTGACTCCATTCGAGTTTTGCATTCTCTGAAATCGTTTTTGCACTTAATTTTTTTGATTTATTACGACTTGAAAGACGCATTCTCTCATTATAGTCTTTACGAAAAAGAAGGAATGAGTTTTGGGGTCTTGGCAAATGTGTTAGACTCCTGCGGCTTGGAGCCAACAAGACATCCAATGACAAAACAAGACGATAAGGGGGATTCGCTACTTGTTGAGCGAAAAGAGAGTCATGATCATGCTGTAACGTTGGCGAAGATAAGAATGTTAGGGTATCGTGAATAAAGTGAAATTGCATTATGAATAAGGATTGATAAATTCTGAAAGATTAAAGATAGTAACGAGATATCTATTGATCGGG